ATATATATATGTTAAAATCTTAAATTCACCAAACAGACTTCTACAGGACACCGTTTTTCACTGTTTAATGAGCATTAGAACTTTATTTGTTCGTAATTTAAAGACTGAATTACTGTTATTTACCCCCCAAATAATAACATTTTTCAGTATAGATTCAAATTTAGTAAAATAAACACTTCTTAGTACTGGTAAACTTACTGAGTCTCGTATGGATTTAATCAAATAAAGAGCTTTGTTTAATTTATGGCAGAGATATTGTATATGAGTGGCCCAGCCTGTCATTGGCATTACAGTGACAATTCCTGTTTGGATGATGAAGCAGATAGACTACACAAAATCAGGCAAATTTTAGATGACCTAGTTGAGAAATTCAGGAAACACAACCCACAAGAGCTATCACTTGACAAGGCAATGATTCTATTGTGAGAGCATCTCAGGTTCTCGACGCATAAACCTGGTAAACTTGTAAAGTATGGAATACAAGCTACATTGGCAATATGGAAATATGTACTGCAGAAGGCAGGAAGCTGGAAGAGACCATATTTTCCGTCCTGAAACTTACCTCGAACTATGGCACCATATTTGCCTTTATAACTGTTATATAGTGTTTGAAAGCTGCTCATAAGGAAGACAAGAGATTTCAGATCAGCCAGGGTCAATATTGGGATTCCAGAGTCATTGAGTGACTCCTCTAAAAACTAAAAAGGGATGATACTATCTGTTATCAGGAAAGGGACGTTCTTCTGCACATCTGGAAGGATGAGAAGGAGGTTCACATGTTTAGTGCAATATATAATATAATATATGAAATTTTCAACTTCTTCCTGCTACTTCTATTGTAGGACCAACTCTCTTCCTCTGCAGCCTCTTTTCAAACACCCACAGTCTGTCTCTTTCCTGTAGTGTAAGAGACAAAGTTTCATACCAATGCATTCATACTTCAAGTCATATGAAAATATATGGATTAAGATTGATGCAAAACAATAGAAGTGATCTGTCTTTCTTACAAATGGGTCTATTGTAAACCGGTTCAGCTGCTTGTTATTTAAATATTAGCGGGCACCTCTCATCCAAATATTTAGGGCTACGGCCCCCACTTGTCACTACATCCAAGAATGCTGCTCATGACTCAGTTGACTAATGATATTTAGAAAAATAATAATCATTTGTTATGAGAGAACCACATAAAATCCATAAAAATACACTCCGTGGATGAAATATCGAGTTACTGAACATTAGTTAGATAATCACAGATAAGTAGTACATTATCTTGCGAACTTTCCATAGACATGAAAAAGCTGTAAATCTACATGCGCAATTATTTTCCCAATTAAGATTTCTTGACAGCTGATGAAAGCAACACGCTCGTGTGTGCTGCACATGTTCAGTTCTGGCACTTCTCATGGCCCGAAACCTGTCGATATCCCGGCAGTTCATTTAGTTCCGAACCAGTCATTATGCGCATGACACAGCAATCACTCCAATTACATAGGCTGCTATTGAACTTCCGATACCAGAATTTGAGTGTGGGGGCAGTCAAACAAATCCGTCATTGTGTGCATCATAACAAAGGGAACTGCGCATGAATGGCAGCTCATACTCCCACGCAAACACAACCCGTCAATCGGTTCCCTAATCACAAGTTTACGAGGGCGGATCCATCCCAACAAATAGCATTCACAGAAGATGGTAATGTTTATGTCGGTAAAACTGATTGTTTATTGTAGGGGGGGCAATGGTTCAATTCCCGTCAGAAGCAGACTTTGTTCTGTGCTCAGAAAGTTTTCTAATCTGCTCCTGGATCCATCCAGTCTCCAGTCCAGGAGACAAGGGGCCAAAGCGGCCAACTCGAGCAGCTGATCACGCACCTCTAACTAGAGCTTCATGTCCGCGCGACCACTGCCCTGTCCACATTAACTCTAACTCCAGGGAGCTGAGTCCTTCTTGAGAAACCGCTAGTCGCTCAGCTACTCAAGAATTTCCCAACATTTTATGGAACCCGAAGGTTCATTTCCATGTCCACAATAGCCCTGCATTGATACATGTCCTGAGCCAGATCAATCCAGTCCATACTACCCAGTCTTATTTCTCAGAGATCCATTTGAACAGTTTCCTCCCACCTACATCAGTGTCTTCCTATTGGCCTTTTTCCTTCAGGCTTTCTCACCAGAATCCTTTCAACCTGAAACGCATAAGTATGGGATAACAACTAAGGAGAATGAGAAAATAGAAGAAGAGAGACAGAAGGGGTGGAAGAGAAGGTAGGAAGGCAGAAGAAGAAGAGGCAGGGGGTGAGGAGGGAGAAGGAGAGTGGAAGGGACATGAAGAAACCGGAAAATATGAAGAAGAGGGAAAACGGGGAGATATCAAGAAGGCAAAAAGAAGAAGAAGAAGAAGAAAGAAAAGAAGCAAAAAGACGCAGAATAACGTTAGAGGAGAAGAAGGGAGAACTAATGAATTATCCGTTCACGCATAATAATCATAAATAATAGTCATTGAAGCGTATAGTGGGCGCACAAGTAAAGCTCCACTCATTCAAAACTTCGGATTTGGATGCATGTGAGATCTGAGATTCACGTTCCCGCTTTCACTTTCTCAAAGGATAAGGGAGTGAATGAGCCCCAGAGCCAGTTTGAACCTGTTGGAAAATAAAACATTCTGTGCCTGCCAGGACGCGAACTCTGGTTCACCAGCTTCTAACCATTCATTTTCTGATTTCAGAATGTAGACAAATCATCTAAAAAGACTATCCTATAAAAATCAGACATCCAGTTTTTTGCTCATGAAAGGAACGACCTCATCAGCTGAGTATGCAGTGATTAATGGGAAACATATAGACCCCTAAAAGTCAGCATCGACGGGCGAGTGATGAATGCCCGGGTTGGAGGCTGCCTCCTGCATATCACAAAGCATTTTTCATTTTGCTGGAAACCTTCCCTCGCCTTATACTGTATTATTTGCCTGCGGCAGCTCATAGCGGGCCTTTGATTTGACACTGAATGGCTTACACACAATGATCAGAATAAACACTAGAATAAAGTTTCACGCTTCAGACCTTTGCTCACGCTAACCTAGACCAATGATGAAGACTGACAGGACTGACTGGTTCAGAGGCCATTTAACAGCTCTGTATCAACTGCAGACATTACACAATATAGGTCCTCCAGCATGTCATTATATTTAATTTGGTTTCGTATTGCTCATATAGAGGCACGGGTCAGGACGTGTGAAACATTTGCAATTATTTTATTACGCTACATTCACGAAACTACTGTTGTTTGGTGCATGAGAATAAATTTAAACGAAGCCCACATCACAGTTCTTATAGACAAAATTAATATTATATAGTTTCTGTTCTTAATAGCGTGGAAAAGTAGGTGTCTGTCCCTTTTCCACAGCGTTCAGACTGACTCTGGGGCCCACACAACCTCCTATTCAATGGGTACCGGGGTTATTTCCCCGGGGGTAAAGCAGCCATACCTCCTATATAAAAACGGAACCAACTACACGAATCATTCAGAACAGCTACACACAACACCCAAGAAAAACTAACACATCAAAATATAAGTAATATTACAACTACAATGTTAGAACAGCAGTATCTAACATAAAATATTCATTTCATAAAGAAAGCATTAACATAATCCATTATTATACATTACAGATAAACTAGACACACAACACACGCATACAATAAAATAATTATGTATCGTACTTTAAAAATAATTTATAGGCATTTAAATCTTTAAAATGCAAATTTTAGCAGCTTGAGAACGGGGCAGCACTTTCCTCTTAAAGCAGTGCACCTGATGATAGCAAGTTTGGCCGAAACATGTCAGTGTTCGAATGCTAGGAAGAGACGAATGCTTTTGAAATGCTCGTACATCGACGAAGTTGC